CGCGACCGCAGCGTTGAGCGCCCTCGCGACCGTAGCGTTGAACGTCCTCGCGATCGTAGTCCTGGGCGCCCCCGCGACCGCAGCGTTGAACGTCCCCGCGGCCGCAGCCGCGACCGCAGCCTCGAGCGCAACCGGGACCGTGACCGCCGCGATGACCGGCACCGCCGCGACGACCGCCCCGCCGACGATCGCCGCCGTGAGCGGAGTCGGAGCCGCGAGGACCGCCGCCGATAGTCTCTCTCCTTTCCAATACACCTGACACATCACATGACAGCCGTGAAATTGTGACACTACCCCCGCGCCCCCGGGCTCCTGCCTGCATGTCCGGCACCGGGCCGGAGAACTCCCCCGGTGTCCGGCAGCCGACGCGCGCGCACGCTTGAGTCCCCTGCTCCGGGAGGGTGTCGGGAGGTCCGGCGCCCGGGGGCCCGGGGTCGTCCTCTCTCCCCCAGGCGGCGGGATGTCTTTTGCCCCGTTGGAGTGTCGGGGGCGGGTCAGCAGGGGCAGGGGGGGGGGGGGGATAGTCATGCCAGGCCAGCCCCACGATCGGGCGATCTGCCCCGCACCGCGCGCGCATGCACTTGCCATGGTGGACATCCCCCCCCCCCTGAGGTTGGGCTGACTCCGCTGGCTGGGATCGGCCCCGGGTCTGGCCGGCGTCCCGTCGCGGGGCCTGCCCGGGCCGTGTTGCTCGGGGCGGTGCCGTCCCTGAAAGGGACCAGGCGAGGCGCTGGGGCGCCCGGCCGCGGGGGAGCATCTCCCTCGCAAGCCCTTTTGCCCTCTTTTCTCCCTCTCTCTCTCTCTCTCTCTCTGCCCTCCGCCCCTGCTTGCCCTCAGCCTCGCGCTCGGAAGAGTATCATCCTTCGGATCGGCGGCGCCGGGTCTTTCCGCCTGCCTCTCTCTCTCTCTCCCCTCCCCCCTCCCTGCCCGCCGGGTTGTCTCTCGGCCTGGAGCATGTTCGCTCGACTCTTTCGCCCGGCCGCGCCGGCGGCCTCCCGGCGCTTCAACCAGCCCTCGCCGCCGGTGGAGCGGTTCATCGCCAATGTCGGCGGCCGGCCGACCACGGTGCTGCGGCTGCTGGCGGACGTCGGGCCACGGAGCCCGGTGACGGCGGCCCCCTCAGGCGCGCCGGTTTCCGGCCCGGCGGCGCACGCCACCATCGAGGAGGTGGTCGGCGGCCCGGCCACCTCCGGCCCGGCGAGCACCTTCGAGTCGGAGGTCCCTGTGCTGGTGGTGATCCCCGGCAACCCGGGAGTCATCGAGTACTATGCGGACTTCATGCGGGCGGTCTTCTTCCGGATGAATGGCCGGATCGATGTGTTTGGTGGTATGTCTGCGGGCTGGGCGTGGGCTTCTTTTTTTTTTTTTGTGGCTCTCCCCCTGCCGGGCAGGTCCCTCCGCTGGCCCGTCCGATTTTCTTTTTTTGCTGCTTTCCTCCTCGCGATCATTGCCCTGTGTGTGTCTGTGGGTTTGTGGGTTTGTGGGCTTGTGGGCTTGTGCGGCCACCGGCTTCGGTTTGGTGGGGGCATGTCTCTGACTTTGCTCTCCCTGGGTGCCTGGCAGTCGAGCACTTCGGGCACAGTCCCACCACGGCGGACTTCCTGCCGCTGGCGCAATCGTGTCGGGCCTCGCGGGGGTCCAACCCGACCGGGGGGAACATCCTGCAGGCGCAAATTGAGCACCACATGTGCTTCTTGTCGGAGTTGCGCCGGTGCCGGAACCCCTGGACCCCGCTGTACCTGGCCGGGCATTCGGTCGGCGCGCACATTGCCCTGGAGCTGACCATGGCCGACTTCTCCGTCGGGCCGGACCCCTCGGAGCCGCCGCCGCCCTACTGGAGCCCGAGCAAGAACCCGGCCAGCTTCGAGCCGGGGGCCCCTCCGGCCCGGGCGCCGCTCTCCATCACCCATGCCTTCCTCATGACGCCGACTTTGCGCAAGATCGGGTCCACTCAGAATGGCCAAAATCTGTCGGTGCGTCCTGCGGCCGGTTGTGGACATGCCCGGGATCTGGGACATGGGTTCCGTACTTTGACATGCGTGTGTGTGTGTGTGTGTGTGGCAGGGGCGGACGGCGCGACGCGGCTCCCGGGTTCCTCCACCTCTTTTTCATTGCCCCCCCTGACTCCGGCGTCTAACCGTGCGATGTTGCCTGCCTTCCCTCGTTCTCGCTCCCCGCACCTGCGGGTGTGCGCAACACGACACGACACAACACGACACAACGCGACACGCCACAACGCGACACGATACAACACAACACGACACGACACAACACGACACAACACTCCGCCACCGGCAAGGCGGCCTTCAACCCGGAGGTGATTGCGGTCCTGGCAAAGGTGGTGACCGTGGCCTCCATGATGCCGGCCTTCATGACGCGTCGGCTTCTGAGCGCCATGGCCTCGTTGTCCACCCGGATGGCCGAGGTGACTGCCGACAACTTCAGGTGCGTCCGGAGGAGGGGAAGGGACATCCCCTGGAGGGGGGGGGGGCCTCTTTGGTGTCCCTCGCCGGGCCCCTCTGACATGTTGGTTCTCGATGCCCGGCCATGCTCCGGTGTCCTTGCCCTCGGCGCAGCGGGCGCGTGGTCAACAATTGCCTGCACATGGCCGCCGACGAGATGGACTTCCTGCAGGAGCTGTCCCCGAAGAAGGTTCTCTTCCTGCACCAGCATGGGTCGCGTCTGGTGACGTGTTTCTACTCGCCCGGGGATGAGTGGTGCACGCCGGGGGACGCGGCGCGGCTGGCCTACCTCGTGGGCCTTGGTGCGTGTGGGCATTTTGCCAGGGGGGGCGGGGGGCGGGGGAGGGAGGGCCCGGGGGGCTGTGCCCGCTTTCTGACACGTGCACCCAGACAATGTGTTTGTCGTCGACCCGAGCGTCAAGCACGCCTTCGTCACCAATGTCGAGAACACCGCCTTCATGGCCAATCGCGTGGCCGTTCGTCTGCACGACAACCTGATGAACCCCCGGCCGTATTTCCAGCAAAGGTACGCCGGGCCGCCCTGTTCCTGCTGCCCTCCCTACATGGTGTTGGTGTCCTCCCCTCTCCCCGCATGTATCTCCATGTCTGTCCTCTTCATGGGGGTTTCTGTCGGCTATCGCATGTATTCACGCTTGCAAGCTGATGTACGTGCACACGCTGACACACATGCGCGCGCATGTGCCGCCTCGCACGCTCCCCTCCCCCTCCCCCGCACGCGCGCACGCACGCGCGCGCGCACGCACACGCCAGCATGGTTGACGACCGGTCAGGCCTGCCCTCCCACTGGGATGACGACTTCGATTGGTCCGACGCCGATGTGGCCAACAACACGCCACCGCATGTGCGCCAGGTCCAGTCCGCGGACAAGGGGTTCTGGCTGGGGCAAACGGATGTCGTCCTCGTTGAGGGAATCTTGCCGCCGGCTCGGGCAGCCGGGCAACCGGCCGCCGCCGCCGCCGCCGCCGCCGCCACCGCCCCTGCCACCCCCTCCGGGCCTCTCCATGACGCCGGTCTGAGTGCCAGCCCGACGCGCGCGGATCCGGGCGACTTGCCCCAGTACCCGTTCCCGGTGCAGGATGACGATGAGGACTTTTCTGACGCCCGTTCCTGAGCGCGGCGCCCCTCCCGTCCCCTTTGCTGCTCTGATGTTTTCCTCGGTGTTCGGCAGGCGCTCGAGACGGACCTCGCCTGAAATGGACACCTTGCACGATCCAGCCTCTTCTTTCTCTCTTCCCCTCCGCTTTTCTCTCCTTCTTCCCTTCTTCCCTTCTTTCTCTTCCTCCCTCTCCCTCCCTCTCCTTCTCCCCCTCCCTCTCCCCCTCCCTCTCCCCCTCCCTCCTTCTCCCTCCTTCTCCCTCCTTCTCCCTCTCCCTCCCCTCCCCCCTCCTCCCCCCTCTTCTAGCGTGCGCGTGCAGGGTGGTGATGCATTTCCCGCGGCGGGGCAGCCAAGGATGCAGGGGCCAGGGGACCGGGACATATGCCTCGGCATGTGGCCGGGCCAGAGGCGGGACCAGGGCGCCCGGCGTGCTCAGCCGACCAGGGGGATGACTTCCCCCGGGCTGGCCGCGAGGCGGAAGTGCACGGTCGACAGGACGGCCAGCGCCAGGATCAGACCGAAGATGACCCGGTCCAGCAGGGCGGTGAGCTGGGTGGCGGCGGTGTCCCGGCGGGCGGCCGCCGCCATGTGCGTGGTGAGGGCCTGCTGCTCGCGGCGCAGGGCGTCCAGCATGTCGGCGGCCCGGGCCACCGAGGCGGCGATGTCATGGAGGCGCTGGTGCACGGCCACCGGGGGCCCGGGCGAGTCGGGGGCCGGGCTGGCGGCGGGGGCCCCGGTGGCCGGGTGCCCGGGGGACCGGGCCCCGGCGGGGGGGCTGCCGGGGCCGGTGGGGCCCGGGCCGTCGGGCTTGGGCCCGGCCGTGGCGCCCGGGTCCCGGCCGAGGTGCTGGTCGAGCTCCAGGGCGGTGGCGCCGGCGGCTTCGACCATGGCCACCGCGGTGCCGGGCATGCCGGCTCGGGCCAGCACCCCGCCGGCCCACACGGCCAGCCCGGCGAAGGGCTTCTTGGCGGGGCCGGGCGCCGGGGCCGGGTCCTCGGGCCCGGGGGCCGTGCCAGCCGGGCCGGCCTCCGTGGGGGACCCCTCGGCCGAGGTGGCCCCGGCCGTGGGGGGCTGCTGCTCGGGGGCCATTTCCGGGGCCGGGAAGGTGGCACTGCGCGTGACGGGGCGCGGGCGGCCGGGGCCCGGGCCGGGGGCCGGCGGCTCGGCCGGCTCCAGCGGCATGATGGCCGACAGGCCGATGGCCCGGGCGAAGCTGATGGCCCGCTGCCGGGCCGGCGAGGCGGGCCGGGCCTGGGTCTGTGTGAAGGGCGTGGTGGCCGGGAGGGGCCGGGGCCCGGGCCCGGGGGCCGGGTGCCCGGGCGGGGTGGTGGTGGTCAGGATGGCCGGCGGCCCGGGGCCCGGGGCGGCCGGCCCCGTGCCGAGGGCCTCCTCGCCGGCCGGGCCGACGCACGAGTCGAGGCTCAGCTCCAGCGGGCTGCCCTCCGGCGGCTCGGTCTGGGTGAGGCGCATGCCGGGGGTGGCCGGGTGGGGCCCGGCCGGCGGGCTGCCGGCCGCGAGGCCTTCCGGCCCGGCGGTCGGGATCAGCGACAGGGCCGACGACTCGGAGGAGGACCGGTGGACGCGGCGCCCGGCCGGCGGCCCGGCCAGCGGCTCCGTCGGGGGGCTGCCCTCCGGCGTGGAGGGGACCCAGATCGACCGGTACAGGGCGTAGTCCTTGTCGCTGGCCAGGACGAGGACCTTGCTGTGTGTGTGTGTGTGGGAGAGATGCAGGGGTTGGGGGCGAAAGGGCGGGGGGTCAGTGGCAGCAAGCAACGCCGGGGGCGGTGCCGGGGTCCGGGCGCACCAGAGCCCATTGCACAGGATGACGGTGACCAGCAGCCGGGGCGTGGCGTCGTCGATGGGCGAGGCAATCCAGCTGGCGGTGGCCGAGTGGACCACGGCCAGGGGGTCGTTTTTGTCTGGGCGTCACGACGGCGTGGGCAGAGGAGGCGGGGCGGTCAGGGCAACGGATGGCCGTGCACGTGTGGGGGAAGTGGCCGGGGGGGGGCCGGGGGGCGCTGTGGCGCACGCACCGGCCAGGCGCAGGGAGGCCAGCGTCCGGAGGAGGAGGGGGCGCGAGCGGCCCGGGCGGGTGCGGCCCGGGGGCGAGGCCGCGCTGCCGGGCTCCGGCATGGGGCCCGGGTCCGCGGTGTCCGGCGCCGGGCCGGTGGCGCCGCCGAGCACAAACACCTCGGCATTCTCATTGACCACCAGCAGCAGGGGGATGGCCGGGGCATGGGGCGGGCCGGCGGTGGGCGGAGAGGAGCTCGGGGCCGGGGGATCGCCTGTGGCGGCCCCCGGGGCCCATGGGCCCTCCGAGGGCAGGGTCGAAGACCGGGTGCGCAGGGCGTGCGGGGCTTCGCGCGGGCCCGGGGCCCGTGCCAGCCCCAGGGAGGAGGCACTGCTGGAGCGCGAGCGGCCGCCAGTCGGGTCGGCTTCGGGGGGGTGTTCGTGCTCGGGGCCAGGTGCCAGGGCGTCCGGGCATGTGGCACGCACCCACTCGCCGAGGTTCGGCAGGGCACACACGAGGGCCATGCTCCAGGGCATCTCCTGGGAAAAGAGCAGCTGTGCTCGGGGGCGGGAGGGGAGGCGGG